AAAAGAAAAGAATATTGCATTTTGTGAGCCAGCAGATGAGGGCATGATTCTGCATCACAGAACCCCAAATCACTGATAGGCAATCACAAAATCATCATTGATAGGAAAGATCCTCACGCGCCCAGCTCACATATATATTTTCCTCCTCCAAATGATCACATAGTGCATATAGCTAGGGTTTTGCTCCTTTATTAAGCATTCTATCATCACCCAGCTCACATATATATTTTGCTCCTTTATTAAGCATTCTATCATTCAAAAATGGCTCGAAATCCAAGACTGGGGCAAACTTTCAGAAACCCTAGTCTTTCACTTGCTCTCCGCTCTGCCTATACTGTTGTTCGAAGAAATTACATGAAACAAAAGAACAAAGCTAAAAATATACAAAATTTATATCCCGTCAATGATCCCCACGAGTCATTAATTAACCACTTAGCCTCTAGAAGTTCAAGATTCAATGATCTCTACTACTAGAAATCTTGTTCTGTCCTAGACAACAACGTTCTCCAGCAAAGGAAAGTCCTCGACTAATTAGAACAAATAACTAAATAGCTACAATCTCCAAATCCAAACATAACCCAAATCCCACATTCCAGCTTAAATTAAGGAATCCCGGTAATTTGGTCACAAAGAAATGATTATTAATTTATTTTGAGTATTGATGTAGGAATCCCACTGATGGTGGAGTCTCAACGCTGATTATGTGATTATATAATCCACAATCACCTATCACAAAGAATAGGGGAATCCACAATCTATACCACCAGTTACATTAAGTAAAAATAAATAAAGAAGTCCAACAAAAAACCCCAGCCCTTTAAATACAGTAAACTAAATTCAACCAAAGATCCATCTGATTGAAAAAAGTTACCAAAACTATCCAGAATTGATTACCATCTATAACAACCAGGACACAAATCATGTGCAAACCATGAACTTATAATCAGGCAGCATAAATAAGGAAGTTGCTGCATCAGTATCTTAAACCCAGATGCCCATTTATGTCATGCTCTCTGTTTCTGATTATTCAAATCTAAAATTGATCAAAACCCGCCTATTACTTGTACCCACACGAAGAGAGAGAGAAAAGTAGTAATACTAATAATAACAATACTAACCAACTAGAATTGATAAGGTCTCTCCAATTAGGAGAAGCCACATTTCGAGGTCCGGAGACATGAAACGCATATGGGTGTGCTTCTTCATCTTGAACCACCACCATATCCCTCTCTTGTACTTCACCACTACAACTGTTTGCCATTTCCAGTTTATATCCTTCTCTTCTTCTCCGTATAGTTTGGTTTCTTGAGACACAGACAGAGATTGAGAGAAGGAACCTGTGCGTGGATTCGGTTTCGCTGAGATTTGATAAGTTGCCTTCTTTCTCAGCTTTTTAATTGGTTAGCTTTGCTTACATGGAATCTGATTCCCTCCCTGTTTGATTCAATTGCTACACCATTCAATTTCTTTCTTTCAAATCACAATATTTGAAAGACTAACGCCTGGACTCTCATCCACAACGGTCATATTTTTCTCCAACGTTGTCGGTTTATCAGTAAATGACTTCTTTGTCCCTGGAAGGTGTTTTTTGTTCCCGAAAGAGTATGAAAGCGCGTGTGCTGTGTCTCGGAAAAGGGAAAGGAGCCAGGTTCCTTCCCCGGGCTCTATCGTCCAGGAGAAGTTAAGTTAATGGGTTGTAGGGGTATTTTGGTATTGACGATGGGACTTTCTGGGGTCTTCAGCTTCGGCTTTACTGTGGCTGTTTCTATTTCAAAAATATTTTTAAAAATATTATTTTTTATTTTAAATAAATTTTTTTAATATTTTAAAATTATTTAATGTAATAATCTCATAAATAATTTTTTTTAAATTAAAAAGTATTTTAATATATTTTTTAAAAAAACCAACAAAATATACTAAATTTTTAAATATTTCTGATGAGTGGATTACAGTTGGACGCTTTTGAGAGGGTGTTGAAGGGTTACGTGAACGCTTCGGGACAAACTATTCTCTCTTTTTCAATAAATTGTTTTTCTATAATTTTGCTGTGGATGATTAATTAAGGGGTGTTTGGTAATATTATAATAGTTATTTTTTAAAATATGTTTTGTTTAGAAACATACTAAAATAATATTTTTTTATATTTTAAAAATTCTATCTAACATCAATTTCTTAAAATAATTTAAAATTTTAATAAATTATTAATTTAAAGTAGAAAATAGAAAATAGAAAATAATAGCAAGAGAACGAATAACAGGGAAGCCCATCTGGACTCCAATGCACTGGATCCCGACCTCCTCCCAAGGCCCATGCACAAGTTACAATTGTGGAAGAGAGCTCTCCAGAATCTGGCCTGTTTATTTTATTTTGAAAAAGAAAAGAAATAAATATTTCAGGTGGCTACAATACGAGAGAGATTTGAAACTAGAACCTCATGAATTATTATGGCCTCACGATTACAAAGCAAGCAGAACTGAATACTCGAAAGCTGTAGTAGATTTTTGACAAAACAGAAGTAATAATCCATGGCCTTGAATTTCAGTGCCTCCTCTCTTTCCCATGTATCCTCTTCTACCACCGGCCCTCAGTTTCTAATCCCAACACACAAGCACCTCCTCAAGCTCTCCCCCTCTTCCTTCTCTTGTACTAAAACCTCTGCTCAATCAGAAGGTGCTGCAAGTGGAGTTACAGAGCAAGACCCTTCTTCCTTTTCAGGTATTTTCCCTGTTGTTGCTCTCTTTTTAGCATCTCTTTACGGTTGTTCTGGTCAAATTTGTTAGTACAGTGCCAAAACTTTCAAGAATTCCAAAGCAGGAGAACAATTCAGAGCCCTTAGTGCTAACGTGTAATTTACTGACAGTCCTGGTTCCAAATATTGTTAAATTTCTTGTTAAAACTTTTTGAAGGTTATTGAATTGGATAAAGGATTTGGTGATTGACCCTATCGTGTGATTTTAATGTTCTTGCATTGAAGGGTCTCTGCCTTCCACACGCACACAGCTCGATCTCCTCGAACAGCTCACCTCTGCCACCCCATCCACTGAAGGTATGTGAATTTTATCTCTACAAACATGTTCCATTCATTTTAGATCAGCAATAGTCAGAATTTACTTGCTTCACTGATCAGGTTATGAGAGTGATGGTGGTTCTGGTAAACTTACAATTCGTGAGCAGCTGGCTCAATTGGTTGGAGAAGGAGATGGTGATTTCAGCATTCCCCTGGGTAAAAAAAACTTGAAGAAAGTTAGTGCCAAGTTCTTAACTGTTTCACAGAAGAGAAACATTAGAAGACAAGCTTACCTAAATAAAGTATCTCAAAGGAATGATTCAGTTTTCTTTGCCACCATCGGAGCTTTCATAATTCTACCGCCGATTATAATCTTAGGAATTGCCATATTAACTGGTTATGTGCAGCTTTTTCCATGATACTATACTCCTTAAATTGTTGTAGAGAAATTATAGCTTGATACTCCCATATATAAAAAAGCTGTTGCTTGTTAGCTAGTTAGTTATAAGGTTGTCATAAGTTTCACATCTTAAGAGCAAAAAAAAAAAAAAAAAAGCTGAAAACTATGAAATGAACTGTTGATAGCATTAGAGTGCTAGTATATTTGAAGGAAACGAAATCGTTCTGTTTTGCCATCATCACATTTGAAATACAATTTTGTTCTTTTGTTTATGGTGGGTGTCAGAGACCAGTCATTGCAAAATCTTAGCATCTTCATAAAGAGAGATGATGATAAAGGTGAAAGAGCAAGTAATTTCTTGAAATGATGTGATATACAATTTCAAATTCTCTAGTCAGTGATGGCATTTAAGATGAGTTCTTTAACACCGGCTAATGTCTACCTGTGTCATGTGAGGATTTAGTAGGTATTGAACGATATCTGACACAAGATTTGTCATAAATCACTCACAGACTTAGTTTCTTGTCTCTCATTTTCATGTCTGCCATAGAGGTGTGATGAACACTAATCTAAATATGTGATGGGTTGTTGAAAGCTACAAGCTAGCATCAGTGGTGAATGTTGACTTCAAACTACAGAGAGAGAACCTTCCTTACACATCTTATGCCATCATGCATTTTCAGAAAACTTCTGTATAAAGAAATCAAATACATAAATTTCATTTAAACTCTAGAACCTTGAAAGTGACCATCTTTCTGCTTGATGAGGACGAAGTTGAATTCTTAGATAGTGAGACTCGCATCTTGAGAGAGTAAAATTCATTTCTCTGATTCATCAATCTGCTGCTTACAACCATGTACGCTGCTAATCACCGATTGTGATGCTGTTTCCCCTTCCTTCAACTCCAATTTCTGCATCATTCTGTTTTTAACAGAGTATCAGATGAGCTTCTCTGGCTATAGTCTTTCAATTTCAGAATGTTCAGGGCTAAATCCCTACCCTTGATCCTTTTACTCCCATCTCCCAATTCTTGCTCTAAGCCATTTCTCAGGAATGGCAAAGATCTGCTGTCTTTTATGTATAATTTCTCCGTTTCTGAACCAGATCAACTTTAGCTGGAGCTTTTCTTGCACAGCTTATCAATTGTTGCTCATGATTAGTAAATATGACAGGTCCTTCCAACAGATGAACACAGTCCTTCCTGCAGAAACGTTAGTAAACTGCACATTTTCGTAACAACTAGTAACTATTTTATATCTCAAGATTATTGAGGGAGATTCATCAAGACGTCTTAGTTGCCTCCTTGTTCCAAACGGGCAAGCAATGGTTTTTAATAGTGTAAAGCATGTACAGTTGCCAAAGGATGTCGCTGTTTTCAACACAAAGATCCTTTTGATCCGAGCGGGATTGTAAAAGAGGACACAATAATTAACAAGGCATTATGATGGCTTAGAGAGAGTAAAGAGGAACTACAGAGCTTGATAATTATTGTAAGATCCAAATTTCTCTTTCTTTTCCCTCGACTTGTATGGAAAATAAACAGCAACAGCTTTCATGTGAACCATCTACCAGATCAGATTTATCCTCTCAGGATTTCTGTTCCACATCGTCTTAAATTATTATCAAACCAGTTAGATATCGGAAAACTGTATTTACACTCCATGAAAAAGGAAACCATAGATACAACACTAAAATCCCGACATGGTCAAGAAATCTATATTCAAATTTACAACTGTTGAACAATAGTAGTTCACCAAAAATGAAAAAGCGAAAAAAGAAGCATAATCCATCTTATTAAAACTTGCTATAAATCTCCGATCCAACGTTCAATGCTTCCAAATACTGATCCTTTGCAGCGGAGAATATCCAACGATAAGAAAAACTAGAGGGGGGCATAATTCTCTGTTAGTAATATCTCCAAGTTCTCCTTTCAAAATCCTATTACAGTGGGGCCATAATTGTTTTCAACGGCATTTTATCTACTTTCTCAGCAAGACTCAGTTGTTGATCCCTTTTGCTTTTCTCCTGGAGAAATTACTTGATGAGTGGGCCTCAATGGTTCCAAAATGACTCCTTGCTTATGTATATAATCCCATTTGTCTTGGAACAGGTAAAAGAAAATAATGAAAGAGACCTCGGTGGTGAACAGTATAGTCCAAATATGTATTCTTCTTGATGTTTTCTGATGGTAAGCTTGTAATCCTGTGTATATGTTGACGATTCCCAGAAGAGATACCGCAGTTCCAGTTATCCAGTGCACAAAAAACCACAGACCTCTTCCTTTAGATCCTCTGTATGAAGACATTACATATAAACTCGGATTCTTAGCTAATTGAGGCTGGCATATATTATTTAACTTCTCATGAATTACTACGCTTCCAATGTGTTTTTTCTGCACTTTCTATGACTAAGCATCAAATTGAGATACTTAAATAGTAAATGTAGTATGCCCTTCATACTATATGGGAAACTGATAGGTCTAGCCTCAGGTGACTTCAACTAGCAGGCCTGGAAATGGCCGAGTGAGGTTGAGTCAGTTGTAAATGCCTAAGAATATGAATATAAAAAATACAATGAAGCCTGGTAGCTTACCTCCTCGGGCGTAGAAACCCAACGAGTGCTTGTAACCATACTATACCATACAGGCCTACGCCTATTCGTTGATGGTGATTGTCGAATGAGTTGTTGAAGTTTTTTATAGACATTACTGCTCCCGCTGTGGAGAGAAGTACAGAAAGCATCTGCTGAACACAAATTACTCATTCAATATATACAAGAAATTCTACACTATGGTCATGTAGTAAATTTAAAGAAGTAAAGTTGTTATACTCACTCGTGTGTAAGATTGCTTTACCTATTCATTTGTGAATGGCCTAGAGACACCTAATGTCATAATTCAGTACCATGATTATGCTAAATTAAGATCATAAATCCATGAACTGCCAATCAACTATTACTTTATTATCATTGTCTTCCCTCTCAAGTAGTAATGAGATTAACAACAAACCGTGGCCTACATAAAATACTTGCAGAACAGGAAACAGCTCTACATTGTTTCTCTTTCATCATCATTAAAAGCTAAAGAGTGGGGTGTCGACCTTAAATAAACAAAGCTCAAAGCTTTAGTGATATCTTTTTGTGACCTGTGCAGAGATACAGTTTTACATATGAAAGTAAAAGAAACTAAAAGGAAAAAAATTAACCTTAATCGTGGGAAAATTGAAGAGGATAATGGAACCATAGTTACAAAAAGAAAAAAAGAGAGAAAGAACCTGCCTGCGAAATGGAATGAACATAGAAAAGAATCTTAAGCCGTCGTCCGCATGCCTCTCTTTGTGACATTCTGATAGCGATCACCCCAACAGGCATTAGAAATCCCATTGAGGCCCACAGCAGAAACCCATGGAGTGTAATCTCGAACAGCAGTTTAGGACTTGACTGTTTTTACAGAATATCAGTCAGTTTTATTGGAATCGCAAGATGGTAACGGGCTAGTTTGTAAAATTGAAATGAACGTGGCATATGTATAAAGAAAAAAAGAAGAAGAAAGAGTGCAGAAGATGATGAATTTCAATTCTGAAACATCAGGAATTAGATAATAAGAACTTCACCTAGAAAACAACTATAAGCAAAACATGAGTACCTTATGAATGATGTTCTTGTTGCTAGTAAGATTGCCTGTGGTTTTCAAGTGTTCTTGAGATGAAACGACAAATGGTAGGAGAAGAAGAATAACAAGACTCGCACAGATGGTGAAAGAAACCAGTTTCTGTAGAAGTTGCATTGTTTTTCAGAAGCACAGCCAAGGACTTTCTGTAATTCTTTTTCTGCTATTGACACCGTGAACTTCAGTTGGAGGCTAAGAGGTTTGGTGCATTAAAATGATGTAAAGACACAGAAAAAATGGAGCAGTGGCGCAACTGAATGCGTTTTTGATGTATTTCTTACAAGAAAGGCAGGTTCAGCTTCATGAATTCTCTCCAGATATAGCAATACTAACTTGCCTTGGAGAATTATCGGTAATTTCACCTTTCTCTGCGTGCCTGCCGCATACAAATATACCAACTAGACAGGCTTCTAGAATGTTATTTCAAGAAATTATAATGCTCATATGTTGAATTTAAGAATTTCAGGATGAAAGGTTATTTTTACCAAGACAAAGTAGGATGTTTTAAATACAGAACTCTTATGTATTGCATGGAGGTTGATGCTTTTAGGGTGGGGGATTCGAGTAAGAAAGAGGTTATGGGCATGGGTTGCAATTTCAACCAAGTGGGGTTCACTTTGACAGACCTTTTGATTTAATGAAAGGGAATGTAGGAATCACAGAGCAAAAGGAAGGTCGGATTTCAATGGAGGACAGAAGTTTGAATTTGTAAAGTGAGTCTGTGAAGGTTACACTAGCAGACACATCTTCTAATTTATTCCCCACCGCTTGGTATACATATAGCATTAGCATCATAGCATGCTAGAAAATACCAATACACCAACCCACAAAACGAAAATAATTTGATAAAAGAAAGCACATATATATTTTTAGATTTGTGAAAAGATAAGATGATTTTTTGATTGCATATGTAGTAAACTTTAGCGCTAAATAATGGTTTACTGGCATTTAAATAGACAACCTAGCTAGGCGGCTTTCACTGAAACAGATGATTTCATAGACATCCATCGTTTTAACCCCTTGTTATTTTGGCGGGCTTTTTTCTCCAAATCATCATCCTACAGACCAAACCAACCTGTTGCATAGATAACTGATAAAGAATAATAAAATCCTGACGAGTTTCTGTTGGTATTTACAAACACTTGAAAAAAGACATGCTCCTAAACGAGGGTACGTAGCAACTCTCAAATCAAGAAAGGTGGACCAAGACAAGCTTAGCCCATCTATACAACTTTTTAGCTGTGAGAAATGTAGCAGTGATTGCGCATATAGCTGAGGTGGTCCTTCCCCTGTCAAATACTGCAGTTGATTTTCTTCGAGCTCATGATGCTGGTTTGGAGTCTCTACCTGTTTTACACGGCTAATTCCTAAAGAAAGAGACAAGTAATTGTCCCTAATCTGTTTTGCATGTGATTCATTCCACCCACCCCCATGCCACCGTTTCTGGGCGTACATGTACCCGCTCTTGCTAGCTAGATCTGAAGCATCGCAGCTCAAATAGTAGTTGATATCAGGCGCCTGTGCTAAAACCATCAAACCTAGATTATTGTATTACGGACAAGACTTGTGACGCATGCATGCTTTAAAGTACCCTGAACATTTAGAAGCACACAGCCCGAAGTACAATAATCATGTGGATCGCATACCTATATATAAGGTGATAATATAAGCTTGCTGTGATAATAACCTAATAAGGATACAATCAAGAACTCCAGCAATAATCATCATCATCATCATCATAAATATAATAGGCTAATATCAGTAATGGAACTAGTTTTTATTACCGTCATCACCAGTCAGAATAATTAGTGTCATGAATTAAATAGATATTAACGATATATTTTTTATGTTAAGTGTCGCAACTAATCTTTATAGTGTGGAATTGCTGGTCCCAAAAGTTTCATTTTATTTCTGATATAAAACTTAGGCTAATTTGGTAGGACAACTCAAAATCTCATCCGATTCAAATTGAAAAAAAAAATAGAATAAGAAATAATTTAATTAAAAATTTAAATCGACTTGGAATAACATTCATTTAAGAAGAAGATGTAACATTCAAATCCTTTACTTATTTAAAAAAAGTATGGAATCGGCTTATATTGACCCCGATTTATTACTTAGATATTAACCAAGTTAATCAGGATTGAGTTTCATTGCTCTGATTTTATCAATTAAGAAAAGAGCCAATCATATAATTTTGTGATCCATGTCACATGTGATTCAACAGCAATGTTCAGCCGTATAATCATTACTGAGCTGAAAGGAAATCATAGTGTATTTTTCAACCTGCTGTATGAACTCATTCTAGTTGGAGAATCAATAGCGTTGAAAAATGATAAAAGCCGTTAACCTGCATTAATTCTACAGAAGACATATCTGACTAATACAAGGCCGAAAACCCAGGTCTAGCGAAGGGAAAGCTTCTTTGACGAAGTGGTTCTGAAGAATAATCGAGTGATTGTCCAAAGAAAAAGGCTCTGTTTCGTTGATTTGAGCTCCTAACCACCTTTATTGTTTTGTCAATGGAGGCTTATATGCTGAATGAACATCATGCTTTGGCCTTTATGTAAAGAGATTGGAAAGATGCGAGGACGACTAGAGTTTTTAACAGAATTGGGTGGCCAATAGAGACAGTGACAAGACCCTGTAACCCATGAGAATGATTTCATGCTGTTCTTGCATAATTAATTATCCGATCGGATGTTTCTCGGAAATAAATAAATAGATGGATAGATCCTTGATTGGTGCGTCCAATGCTGATTTATAATTACTGAAGATGGCAATCAGTTCCATTTTGATTAACTAAAGTCGAACTTGATGATGCCTGTCCTTCTCACTTGAATGCCACTCGATTTTTATCTAATCAGATGAGGACTTGAGTAGCAATGAGTTAATCTTCTTTAAATTTATAAATTGTTATCTTATAAATAAAAACTCTTCAATTTTTTTACTTGAAAGGTTCACGAGGAAGATGTTCTCCTAAATTTTAGAGTTTTTAAAGAAAAAATAAATTAAAAAGCTGTTTATTTTTTATAATATTAATAAAAAATAAATATATTTTATATACCATTAATAAAATAATCGACTTTATATATACTTATAAATATACAAAAATTATTATTTTATTATAAATTATTATTCTAGATAAAAAAAATATATGATAATTTATTAAGTTTTTAATACTTATATTATAAAGGATCATCCAGGATGAGATATATAGTCTTAGAACATTAGAATTTGATAATATAAAAGCTTTTTGGATCTGACATGTTTATCAGATCCATGTTTTTTTTACTTAGTTTATCGTTAAATCCAAGTTTATTGGATCTAGTATGTTTATCAAATATATTTTATTTAAAATATATTTCATAAATAAAAATCTTAACAAAAAATTAAATGATCACTTTTCAAAGTGTTTTTGGTTTGGAAATAAATTAAAATATTTTTTTATTTTTTAAAATTTATTTCTGATATCAACATATCAAAATGATTTGAAATTACAAAAAAAAATTTAATTTGAAGTAAATAAAAAAATTAAAAGCATTACAAATGCATTAAAATAATATTTTTTATTTTTAAAAAATTATTTTTAATACCAGCATATTAAAATAATAAGAAACATGGTAAAAAATTAATTTAAAAAAAATAAAATTCAAAAGCTTTTTTAAAACAAAAAATAACCATGCTTTTAATCTCTCTTTTTTTTCAAGTGATAACGATGTACTAAATATTCATGTATTAAAATATTTAAAAACGCAAAAGGAAACATTCTCATAATATCTCCTCACCAACCCCAGCAAAGTCAGCCCACAAATCATTGTCGTGCACTGGTGCTGGGCTTTATCCTTCGTTGTGCAAGGCAGACTAGTTTAAAAAAAAATGAAATTAGGTTACTGTTCATTTAATTACAAAAAAAAATTTAATTTGAAGTAAATAAAAAAATTAAAAGCATTACAAATGCATTAAAATAATATTTTTTATTTTTAAAAAATTATTTTTAATACCAGCATATTAAAATAATAAGAAACATGGTAAAAAATTAATTTAAAAAAAATAAAATTCAAAAGCTTTTTTAAAACAAAAAATAACCATGCTTTTAATCTCTCTTTTTTTTCAAGTGATAACGATGTACTAAATATTCATGTATTAAAATATTTAAAAACGCAAAAGGAAACATTCTCATAATATCTCCTCACCAACCCCAGCAAAGTCAGCCCACAAATCATTGTCGTGCACTGGTGCTGGGCTTTATCCTTCGTGCAAGGCAGACTAGTTAAAAAAATAAAAATGAAATTAGGTTACTGTTCATTTAATATATTAAAGTTAACAACGTTTTGCGTTGTGGTTTCACGTGAAGTTTATCATAGATTTTTACTTTCATAATAATTGGTTTTTAAAGTATTTTTATTTAAAAATATGTTAAAATAATAATTGTTAAGAGGAGTACCATGAAAACAAAAGTGTCTGCGTGGTTAAGAGAAGTAACGCTAACGCTGAGGTCACATATTTGAAACTGTGGTATTTTCTTTTAAATAATAATTATTTTTAAAATAAATGATTGATAAAAAAAAAAAAAAAGTCTAGGCGCGCAACCCTGTCTATGACTCACGCACCTAAGCTTTTTTAATAAGCCTAGCATAGTTCATGCAATACTACGTTTTTTCTTGTTCTTTTTTTCAATTGGCCTCTTGGCTTTTCTTCTTTTACTCTTTATTTTTTTTATCTTTTTTTTTAAATTTTTTTCTTTAAAATTAGTTATTTTTTTAAATTTTTTTCTTTAAAATTAGATTTTTCTTTAATTTTATTATTTAGTATTGAGTTAATTGTAAATTAATTTTTATATTTTTTATTATATTATAAAATAAAAAATTAATTCAAAACAATTAACAATAAGTTAGATTTTTATTTAATTTTATTATTAAGTATTGAGTTTTTTTTTTCTAGAATAAGCTGAAGGTAACTTAAAAATTATTTAATTTAAAACTGGATATAGTAAAATAATATAAATTCAAATAGCCAGCAGCTAGTAACTGCATCAGCCAGGAGTCCCTACGTTGCATTTTGAAATAGGACTACAAGTTCTCATGATCGAATACGGGCCTGTTTTATTACTCGAGATCGGCCTAAGGAGCCCACTACCTAGGCACGAGCCTATTAAGCCTCACAGACCACCCATTCATCTTATATAATAAAAATAAATTATTCTTAATAAGATTAAAATTATCTGATGGATTTGGGTCGGGTTGGTTCGACAAGGGAAAGGATAGCCCATTTTCAGTCGGAGCTACAAATCATTTGCAGAAAACAACTGTTATCGATCGTGATGACCAGAGCATTCCCAGCGTCTGCCGAAAAAGATGATCAGATCGTCCTTGTAACATAAACAGCATCGAAACCTCTCTAATTCACCGTTCAGAAACGCTTACTTCTCAAATTTTCCTCCTCCAATGTCAAACGTCTCCGTCGCGGGTAACCTCTCTAATTCACCATTCAGAAACCCTTACTTCTCAAATTTTCCTCCAATGTCAAACGTCTCCGTCGCGGCTG